TTCTTGTGATTGTGGATGATTTTACAAGGTTCACCTAGGTTATCTTCCTCAGGATCAAGTTACAAACAACCTCATAACTCATTAATTTCATCAAATGAATTGAAGTTCTTGTAAAACTACCTATTCGACGAATCCAAAGTGATAATGGTTCGGAGTTTACCAATGTCACCATTAAGAAATTTCTCAGCCAGGATGTCTAAATCCTCAAATAATTCATGAAGTCGATTTTGAAACCCTCTTCGGACCATCTGAAACAGCTCATGATTCGGAATCGCGATCAAGACAATCCTCATCAACTGTAGCTCCAATCTCACAAAATTTTCTCAGTCCGATACCCATATTTCCTCTATTTGATTCCGAACCAATTCAACCTTCTCAGGTTGAGGAGGAGCATGGTATTCCCTCTCTTGAATCAAATGTTGAAGGATTCCAAGATGTAGTGGATCAATTTGCTGATTTCAATCCCATTCCAAGCAACAACAACAACAACAACAACAACAACATCTTTGACTTTTAGGATGAAAACGATGCTGATACCTCCAATTTAGAACTTCATGGGGAGCATCATCCTCCAATCCAAGTTTTTCAGGGGAAAAACATAACCCTATTATTAATGTTGGATCATCTACTGCACAAGAGCTTCCGAGACTACACATCTGGACCAAGGATCATCCTCCAAACCAAGTTATTGGAAATCTAAACGTCGCTATTCAAACTCGTTCTGCCACCAACATCCAAAATGAATGTCATTTCTCGACATTTATCCCAATGTTTGAACCAAAATCCATCAAGGAAGCACTAGAACATGCTGACTAGATTACAACTATGCAAGAAGAATTGGTAGAATTTGACCAAAATGAAGTGTGGACTCTCGTCCCTCCTCCTCGGGATCACCTCATTGTTGGTACGAGATGGGTGTTCTGAAACAAGTTAGACGACACTGAAGTTATCATTTGAAACAAAGCAAGGTTGGTGGCCAGTGGATTTACACAGATTGAAGAACTTAATTATGATGATATCTTTGCTCCTATTGGCCGTCTTGAAGCCATCATCATATTTCTTTCTTATGCAACTCACAAAGGCTTTAAAGTTTACCAAATGGATGTTAAAAGTGCTTTTCTTAACGGTAAACTGGATACTGAAGTGTATCTTCAACAGCCTTCCGATTTTGTCAATCCCTTTTATCTAAATTACTACTAGAAACTCCGAAAACATGTTTATGGCCTCAAGCATGCTCCTCGCGCCTGATACGAGACTCTCACAGACTTTCTCAAGCATTCATGTTTTCAAAGAAGAATTCTCGAGCCTATCCTGTTCCGAAAATTAAATGGAAAACATCTCATGTTGGTTCAAATCTATGTGGGCGATATAATTTTTGGATCCATGGATCCATGAATGGTTGCTGAGTTTGCCAAGTTAATGGTTATTCGATTCTAAATGAGTATGAATCATGAACTAAGTTTCTTTCTCCATCTCCAAGTAAAATAAACCAACTGAGGAATCTTTATTCACCAAGAGAAATACATTTCAGAGCTCCTTAAGAAATACTCAATGGACACATATGCCTCTGCAAGGGTACGTATGGTTTTCAGACATAAGATATTTTCGGACCCATCAGGTGTTGTTGTTGATGAAAAGAAGTATATAGGAATGAGTGGACTGCTACTCTACCTAATAGCAAGTCATCCGCACATCATGATTTCTACATGTTTATGTGCCAAATTTCAAGTCAATCCAAAGATGTCTCATCTCTTGGTGGTCAAGAAAATATTCAGATACCTCAAAGGTACAAAGTTTCGGAGTTCGGTACCTAGGAAATGAGAGTTTCCTCCTACAAGCATATTCTAATTTGAACTATGGTGGTCTTCAACTGGATAGAAACAACACCTCTGGTGGCTGTCAATTTTTGGGTGGAAGATTGGTTAGCCAGACATCTAAGAAATAGGATTGCATTGCACTTTCAACATCCGAAGTGAAATACATTGTTGCTGCTAGTTGCACCTCTCTATTTCTTTGGATGAAGTCACAACTTTTGGATTATGGCTACTGGTTCCAACAAATTCCAATCTATTGTGATTCTCAAAGTGCCATTGCGATTTCACACAATCCAATTCAGCACTCCATAACGAAGCACATTGATATACAATACCATTTCATTACATAACATGTTTTAAAAGGAAATGTTGAACTTATTTTTGTTCCATCTGATGATGAAATTGCTGATGTCTTTACTAAGGCATTAGATGAAATCAAATTTAATGGTTTTCTGAACAAAATGAGTATGATATTGCCTGATCCTCAATTCTTTAAAGATACTTGAACTCTCTGATGATATCATCAGGAAGTGAAATAATTTTGAAGTCAAATTGTTTTTCATCTCGAAATAAATAGGGTCATTTTACGTGTCTTTTTGTCTAACCATTTATTTTAGTCTTAAGCTTTTCAGCTTACCTCGTCTTTTAAAGTTCATGACAAATATAGTCACATTGGTATTTTGGTTGATATCATCTCAAAACCTATCTCAAAAGTGTGTTAAGAAGTTCATATCATCATTCTAGTCTGAAACAGTAATGTACATTCACCTCCTACCTATCTGAGATCTGTTGCTTCATGTCTCAGAATCACAAAATTTGTTTAAAATATGTCTTCTAAGATCTTCTTAGCTTTTACCTCTGATATTTACTCTGAGTCTGTGCAATCTCGAACTCTATATCATGTACAAGTATTTTCATTTTGATGTTGGAAGTATCTTATGACAATTCATCTCGGAACTTTCTTGTTTCGAGATAACTTTACCAATTCATCTTGGAACTTGCTTGCTCCGAGATCACTTTCTTGAAAAGAAGTTCAAAAGGTTTTTTCATTATTTTATTGAAACGTTTTTCTTATTAACTCAAACTGTTAGTTTTTTTAATGATGACGCTTCTTTAATGCTTGAAAATCATACTTTTTGCACACGTCTCAATAAAGTAAACATCTTTTCAAATCAAACGACGGTTTCCATTTTGCACGTCTTACCATTATATTCTTCCGTCCTTCGAGGTCAACTCATATAAAATATGGCAACACATTTAATGCGATCAGTTTCCTAAATTGGGTATAATCATTATACTTTTTTAACACCCGACCCACTTTTTTTCAAACTATAAAAGGCTCACAAAACACACTTTATGCCTTTTACACGCTCATCATCTTTATCACTTTCTATCTATAAAACTGTTCTTCTATCTCTAAAAACCTACAACCCCCAATAACAAATAACGAAGAATGCAATTCATCAATATCCAATTACCAAATGCTTAAAGCTTCAATTGATGTATAAGGTAAGTTTGTCAATTATCTCTTCTTCTTGAGCGTGAGCCTTGGATCGCAATCAATATCATTGGTAATTCAACTTTAGGTAATGCGCTTAAGATGTCTAACTCTCAAAACATAAGGGAAACAAATTCCATCTTTACTACATAAGCCTTTTTCATAGTTCACACGATACCTGAAAATGGATTTTAGAGATGCCCAGTTAAGGATCAACATATGACTATATGAAAGCATAACACTCCCTACACTTAAGTCTCACTATGTATCTCAAGTATTAAGGATAGAAACATAGTACCTTTTACTCAAGTATCATTTATAACCGCGATCTATAAGTTGATCTTGATGTGGGTCGGTTTAGTACTAGTTCTCTGACAAGTACTTATCAACTTGGTTACAACCACTTGCGTACTTTCATCTGGTGAGAGTCAACCGTTCAAATTCATATTACTCTTACTTCATAATTTCTCCCATAATTATAACCAACTATAAACTTTTAGAATAGTAATATTATTCATGGATTAAACATGTTAATTGATAGGATTGAATCCTAGTTAGATCGAATGGATTAAAATAGGTAAAGAATAAGAACAAGGCAAATACATCAAAATATGCTGAATGATTAAAAGCCACAACCTTAGAAGAACTGGATGAAGAATTTCTACTGTACAGGCATGTAGGGTTACAAAATTATTTCCGAACTTAAAAAACACGATGCATGCATGCACGTTAAATACTATAACCTTAATAATAAATGACGGGTGGACAAGCCCAACCCCGTTTACAAATAGATTAAATAAATAACCACAATGACACAACACATATGCCCAACAATCTCGCATTTACATTAATTGAGGCGATAGTCCATCAAGGCTGAGTTCGCTTCTACACTTCAACAAATTTTGGAATTACGCTCAGCAAAACCTTGCGAACCTGTACGTACCATTGAATCAATCCGAAAATCACATTTTGTCTCCGTTGTTGTTGCCCTTGTATTTGTTGACCATGTCCAAAATATACTCCAGGCCAGAGGTAGTGAAAGTCTGCATCGTTTCGTTCTCGCACCTGAAATACCACATACCATCCTTCCTTGTATATCTTCCCAAGTTTCAACTTCTCAAAACCTTCCGGAACTTCTTTAGGGAGAGCAGAGGGATTCCTTCGTAGTACAACAACTATTTCCACATCCATTTTACCTACCTCTTGAACATACGAAACTATCATCAATTTTAGGTGAGCAATAATGGGCTCATACTTCTATCTGTCTCTCAACAGTAAGTTGCAGAGCATGATCTAGTCATAGGGATTAACGTAAGGCAGGTCTGTGAGAGTGAATTCACGAACCTGACTAGCAGAACCTCTCACAACCTTGAACTTCGTATTTGGGAACTTGTCAGTTTTGATTGGACATGTGACATTCACTATAGTAGTCTTGCTAACACTCCATATTTCGTATTGTGGTTTCATATGCTTGAGATAAAACGAAAATAGCAAGTGATCAGCACCACTGTCAGTGGATGGGACATTCGCTACTTTTACAAATGAGCGAAACTTGAAGTTTTTTGGAGTTATTGGGAGGTCCAGCTGCGAATCTTGTGTATTCTAAAGCTCGAATGACACAACTGGCTTGGCAAATGCACAACTTCGTTCTGAATTCGCTTTAGAGTCTACTTTGGAAATAAAAGCTTTCAACTCTCCAATGTGACCTGAGCTTCGAATTCTACTTTCTCTTTCACTTCATCCTCGTGAATTATTCTTTGATGTTCATCCATTTCATCTTCACGTTCTTTTCTTCTTTTGATACCATTTTCATCGAGCTCTTCATCTTTGTTGTTTTCAACAATAGATTCTTCACTGAAAAGTTTTTCTTTGCCTTTAGGCTCAGATTCTCTTTTGACAGTGTGCTTGGCAGAAGGTTTGGGGTCTTCCTTTTTGGATTATGACACACCTTCTCCCGCTTGTTTCAGAATGAAGCTAGATTCCGGAACACCTTCCAATCGATGAAGCATGGCGAAGACAGGGCTTAGTTTCTCAGCAAGATGCTTCTTCACCATGATCGTAATCATTAAGTCTCGAGTCTCAATGATATCTAAAAGCATGCCAATAATCTCTGCGATACATGTTTTCATAGTGACTTTTTCGGATAACAAATCATTGACTTGTTTCTCAGCATTTTTTAGTTTGACTGTCAAGACTTTCACCTTTTCAGTCTTGACAGCGAGAGCATTCATTATTTTTCTCTCCATAGCTAGATCATCTTGAAGCTTAAATATTTGCGAGGAGATGGATGAATTAAACTGATCATTGTCAATTTTAAGACCAGTGTGAACCTCCCAAAGTTTTGCCTTCTCAGTTTTAAAGGTTGAGCCTATGATAGAAATAACTTCGTTAGCCTTCGCAGTTTTGGACTCAAAGGAGCTTTAGAACTTCTCCAAGAATACCCGTGCATCAGTAATTAGTTTATCGACTGTTTCGGTCGTGTTTTTGCAGACAGTTGTAGAAGCATCTACCGCATTGTTCATATTTTCAAGTTTGGCAGAGTGCTCTTTTGTAAGGGTGTCAAGAAGGGACTTGACCGTTGCTTGAGAATAATCATCAGTAGATGATGCCTTTAAAGCATGAAGCAGCAAGTATAGTTTTTCATGTATTTCCTTGAGTTGCCCTCTCGTAACGGGAGCTTCTTCATCACTTTAAGTCCTGATGTTGAAAGGATTGTCATTTTCATCATCATCGTATATCATATCAGGGTCATCTTAGCAAAAAGGAGAAATAGGTGGTGAGAAGTGACCAGTTGCGAAACTTGAAGCTCATGCCCGCACATCATATGTGTTCACAGAAATAAGAGGCTCAACAGATGTTGTTGGTGTGATGGTGGAATCAGTGAAAATGGGTAGGGTTGCGAAACGCCCAACGCGATAGGTGGGCATGGAGCAATAATGATGGGTGTGGAAATAGTGGCAGTGTGAGAGGGAATGGAGACATGCTCAATGAAATTAGTAGAGATAGGAACTGAGACAGGAATTTCAATAGTTAGCTCAGGATTCGTAGAAGCTAGCTGTGAACTCTCAACAGTGAAGTTTTTGTACTGTCTTCATTTTGGATTGTCTCATCTCCTTCAATGTGAATGTCTGAGTCAGACTGTGAACCTTCATTATCACTTGGATATGGAGATCTAGGCGTGTGAGCTGCCTTCATTATCTTTTGGTTCTTTGTTGGAGTTGTAACTGCTGCAGATAAGCCATCTTGTGCCTTTCATATCTTGGGGATTTTAGCAGGTTCAGACGGACCCTTTCTTTGGTTTGTCAGCTTCATCAGTTATTGATTGCATCTCAAGAGTCAAGGACAAAGCCTGAAACTGGAAGTTTTATGTAGGCTTCTAGAATTTTGCTTGCTGCAGGAACGTCGTGAAACATGGCTTCAGGAATCGAGCCAACAAATGAGAACATAGAGCTATCAACAAGGATGATGTTGGTGGTGTGAAATATTGAGATGGCAGACATGAAGTAGTCTTCCATCACCGGTATCTAGAGCTTCTCGATTTCCCTTTGAACAACGATTTTCCAGAAGTGAGCGCATGAAATTTCACTGTGTCGAGTGGTAGAATGGGTACTTTGAACCAACTGAACCCAAAGAACAGCCCTAAAATGGATGTTGATTCCAATGTAGATCCCTTACATAATGGTCATAAATAGCTTACTAGCATAATCCGATCCTTTCACACGCTCTGAAAAACTTTTGAACAAAAGAGTGTAGAGCCCATTCCATTGCGGCGATAGATTGGGCTACCTGAATTTAGAGATGATAGTTAGGGGTTCTTTATAACCATTTGGTAGAACATCTCCATGATGGCGGTGATTGAGATGGAATTAGGGTCTACCATATCGTCAGTCTGAGTAAGCCCTAGCAAGGAGCAAAATCGGGACTTGGTGAGTGAGGTTTTCTGGTTGTGAACTTCAAAGGTGATCCTTTGTTCTTCCTTGATGTAGCAAGCAGATGAGTAAGCCTTTGATAGGAGAGACATCAGAACAATCTCCGATGTGATCAAAGTGTTAAGCAGAGGTGAGTATTTCAAACACTCGACAATCGGTAGCAAGAAACTATCATACTTGAGAGGATCGAGATCAAGAATCAAGTGTTGATTTGGATTGATCGTAAGAAGCAACAACTGAGTAGATTGATCTTGAATTAAAGGGGTTTCAGTTAATGCAACCATGGATGTTGGTTGAAGAAGACGATGAACAATAAAGAGAAAAATTGCCTTGAGAATTTGAAAATCTTTTGATAATGGTAAGGAATGACGAAGCATCAGAAAACCATTTATACAATTAACCAAGAGAGAGAAAATATGGTGCCGATTGCATTTTCTCCTTTGAAAATATGTGAAAACTATTATGTCAGTTTCAGGTGGAGCAAAACCATGCGTCGTTTCAAATTTCACGCACCCATTTGAAATATTATCCATTAGAGTTGCCGCTTTAGTTTCTCCCTTTCGCAATTCAGTTAAGTTCTCCCTGTCACATGTAGATAGAAACTTTTGTTGTTAAGTAAACTTGAGTTAAACTGCAAAACTAAAAATAAATGAGAGTGCCACGACCCAAACTTTTGGAAAATCATAAGGATCTTCATGCGAGAGTGTGCCACCGATAAAGAAATAAAGCAATACATATGTGTGGGATTTTAGGGATGTCTTATTTAAGACACAAAACAGTGGCTCTCGGGCGAAGATCTCTTCCTTCGAAGTCAATAGGGACTAAGAAGTGTCTATGTGCTTCCCCATTGAATTACTATCACATGTTTATTTAGAAAGAGTGAAAGGCATCTTTTAAAGGTTTTAGTGGGTGGTTCTATCTCCAACGTACCTACGAAACTTGATATAAGTCTGAGAGTTCGAAGGGAGCACGTATTTAACCAATGTAGTCAACTGAACAGGTAAGGTTTGGAATTATTTTGGGTAACATGGATTCGCATTGAAATCTCAAAAAAAATGGATCTATTAGGTAGAAACGTTTTAGGTCTTAGAACATTTCATTAAGATCTCGCAAAAGAAAAAGAGATTTCTTGGTACAGATCACGAAAGTGGAGTTTTGTTAATTCCTTGGTGAAGAATCTTGAACATGTATATTGTTCACCATCAATTCGTATAAGTGTGTTGGATTTTGGGTTTCACTCAATTCGTGATGATAACGAATTGAAGATCATAAGCACAGAAATTGTGTAGCCATAAACCATAGAGGTAATATCTGAAAGTCTCAAGGGTTACATTGGTGAATGCAAAAGTGATGGAGAAGAGTATGAGGTGGTTCCAAAGAAAATAGTGTACCTCTGTTGTGCGAAACTGACCAAGTAGCGAACTATTAACTCATAATGAGAAGAGTAAGGTAGCTCGAGATTTATGTGAATGGACAACCTTATTTGGGTGAAATGATTGGTGTTATCGAATCATTAAGGCTTCAACATACACTCATTGAGGCTTCAGACAACATACAGCAGCATGCTTCTAGGGACACGTAACTAGTACATAGATAAGAAAGTTTTTACCTGCCCCATCATTCATAATTGAGATGATCAAGAGTCTTGCCATGAAACCTGCTCAATTATCCAATAATTTTGATAAATTGGAATAAGTAGACTAAGAAAAAATAAAGAAAATACTTTTGGATTTTTGATTTTCTAAAAGAAATAAAAACAGAAATAAATATTTTTGAACTTTTGATTAAAATAAATAACTAAAATAAAACCAATAAAATATTTTTGTAATTTTGAATGAATAACAATAAAAAAATTAAAATAGAAAGGAAAAAATAAAATAAAATAAAATTTAAAATATACATAATATACAAAAGGATATAAAATGCTCCAAACCACAAATAAACAGTTGATCATGAGATATGTTGAGCTTTCGTATGAAGTCACAGGATAAACGAGGGTTGCGAATTACTACTAGTGTTTGCACCGATTCACGGAACAAAAGATGATTGTGAATTAATGCGAGCATTCACTTCAATTCGCATGACATCCTTTAGACTGCGAGTGCGAAAGTGTAACTAAACGCGAAAGTATCATTGTGATAGCGAAAATGCTTTTGGAATGGATTTAGCTTCCATCATTCCTAAGCCTTGAAGAATACAATTGAATGTTGATTCTAGTATGGCTTTTGTGAATATGCCAGCTAACTGATTAGCAGATCTAACAAGATGTATCTCAACATTAATATCTTCTACATGATCTCTATTGAAGTGATACCTCAGTGCTATATGTTTCGTCTTTGAGTGTTGCACTGGGTTATGACAAATGAAAATATGACTTTCGGAGGCATAATATAGTGGGATTTGTGTCATGTTAAGGATATAATCACGATGCTGACTTTGAATCCATATGACCTACGAAGTGCATGAGGCAACATCAATCTACTTGGCTTTATCTGTTGAAAAGCAAACATTGGTTTGCTTTTTGTATTACCAACTGCCTAGTTTTCCATCAAGAAATTGGAATCCTCCAATTCTACTTCTTTCTATCTAACTTGCATCCTCCAAGATCAGCATCCAAAAAAGCTTGCACAAAGAAACCAAACTTTAAGGGGTACCATATTCCAGGTGAAGATGTTCGCTTAAGATACTTGAATATGTTCTTGACAGCGATCATGTGAGGTTCTCGAGGATTAGCCTAAAACCTAACACAATAACAAACGAAAAACATGATATCTAGTCGACTAGCAGTTAGATACATTAATGAACATATCACTTGATGATAGAGTGTCATATCTGCAGTCGGTTTTTCCAGAGAAGGAGTTAGTTTTGTTCTGGATGCGACTGGAACTTTCACCATTGAGTCTCCTACCATTCCAAACTTTGCAAGCAAGGTCTTCATATAAGCTTCTTGATTTATAAAGATCCCTTCCTGACTCTGCCTTATGTTCAAGCCAGGGAAAAAGTTAATCGGACCCATGGAGATCATCGCAAACTTTGTTTCCATCAATTTTCAGAACTCAACGGTTAAGCTTAGGTTAGTGGAACCGAAAATGATGTCATCAACGTAGATTTGCACGATTATCAAGTGATCTCTATCTTTCTTGAGAAAGAAGTTTGGGTCAACCAAACCGTGTTTAAACTTATCATGTTTCAAAAAACGAGTAAGAGTTTTGTACCAGGATCTTGTAGTAGTGGTTGGGATACTTTTCGTTTATAACCCCATGTGGTAGTTCCACATACTCGGTTTCTTAAAGTTCAACATTTAAAATTGCACATCTGACATCCATCATGTATACTTCAAAATTATTATGTGCTCCATAAGCCAAGAAGATGAGAACATATTCCAACCTTGCAATTGGTGCGAAGGTTTCTTTGTAGTCGATGCCTCCTTCCTGGCAATATCCCTTGACAACCAATCGTGCATTGTTTCATATGACGTTTCCTTCTTTATCTAACTTCATGCGAAATACCCATTTGACACCAACAACGAAAGCATCCTTTGGAGTGGGAATAAGTCACCAAACCTTGTTTTGTTCAAACTCATTGAGCTCCTCCTGCATAACTTGCAACTAATTAGAATGATCAAGAGAAATTTGAACGTTTTTAGGTTCAATTGTGTAGATAAGCGAATTGAACATGCAATATTTCACTTTAGTGAATAGTGCGGTTTGCTTCGCCTTTTGTTGAGCTCTTGTAAGAACACTTGAAGACAAATCTCCAATGACTTTAGATTTCGGATGGCCTTTGGTCCATTTAGCTAATGGAGGGTAGTTTGTATCATATGATGGATCCAATTCTGCATTCACTTCTTCGAATTCCGATTATACATCCGAATCACCATTTGCATTTCCATTCTCCCCCTCGAATGATGTATGATCGCCATCTTCTGAATTCGATTTCTCCCCATAGAAAGGTGGTTCTAAGATAACATCAGGGGTTTCATTCTCCCCCTGAAGATGTGTGTTATGTGAGAAGATTGACGTTGAACTCTCCACTAGACTGTAGCATTCGCATCTGAAGATTGTGATGCACCTTCATGGTTTTTCGGAGTAGGATTCTCCTGTACCAGTTCTTTTGTAGCATCATCTGTGATTTTCTTCAATTCATCGACTTTTTTGTAAACTGCCTCGGACTTGGACGAAATTGATTTTTCAGGTTCGTCAAAAAGATTCAGAAATTCGTCGTAGAGAGTAGAGAGAGGAATTATTGTTGCGTTTGCTTGTGGAA